GTTGTGGAATTTTTTGTTCGTTTATACGTTCTTGTCTAAGACGTTCAGTATATTTTTTCTTTGTGATTTTTGTCTGTAATATACTATAAACACGATCATGTGTGGCAAAGTGATGGGATCCTAATTTCTAATTATATTCAATTCAATTCAATTCTCGTTCCTGTTTTGCTCTTTCCTTTCCCCTTGTTCATTTGATCGTCGTTTTTGCATGCTGTCAAATATTTAAGTCTAAAAAATGTAATCCAGAAAAGAATTTCCATTAGATTATTAAGCTAATGACCCCCTTTTTTTCACCTTGATCCTGTTTCGGAAGATATCAAGTATCCACGATTAGAAGATCAAAAGTCCTTTTACATTGTCAAGAAAATAGTGCCAAGTCCAGGACTTGACTAAACCAAGTTCAGGTTATTTAGGTTTGATCCTAATCATAAGAAAGTTTCTTTCTTGATTAAGTAAAGAATTTGGAAACCAGGGAGGAGAGTATTAGTTTCTTTTAAAAATTCCACTCCAACATATTTTATCTGCTGTGTATTGCAGAAGGAGATACAGTATTTATATACAGATCGAAAAGCAAACCTATGATTGTTATATCAAAATCAAATAAACAGAAGGTTGATTTGATGAACTTACTGGAACTTTTCTCAACTCCACTTAATCCTTAAAACTCGGATTAAGAGAAATAATTTTATAAATTTATCAAATATACTGAGGAATGTTTCTTTTGCAATTTTCTCTCGGACTAGGGAATACTTCATAGAAGGATCAATATAGTTCCAGATGCTTCACTATAGAAATTTAATCCAATGTTTAGTAATCCTTCAACTAAATGAAAGTTGATTGCACAATATCTATGGAAGTGGAACAAATGAGCATTTTTCTATATAGATTGACATGATAAAGAACAATAATTTTCTGCCAGATATATCTCATGGAAACTGATATACAGTGATTCAAAAGTGTCTTCTTTTCTCACTTGTGAATTTAGGCAAAATTGAAAGAAAGATAGGTTAAGCAAATACTACGTCCCTGATGTGGAAAGTTTCAAACACTTTGAGTTTCTTCCCACTGTTCAACTTGCTTTGTGAGATTCTCTTTTCTCTCGAGAAAATCTTGGAGATCCACAGGGCTCCAGGGAGGGGGCATGCTACATGGTTTTGAAGATGAAGCATAATTAACCCTGGAATGTACCCTAGACTTCTTTCTTATTCCTTTCGTCGAGCAAATCAATGTGTCTGAGCATACTTCAACTGCTTCTCTAGGCACAGTGGGTCGATACTGCAAAAGCTTGGCATATTCGGACAAGAGATGAAACATGTAGTCGTAAATGTACTTCATTTGTAGCTCCTCATGTACAAATTTGCTCCCTGATTTTCCAATTTCTTGTGCCTGTTGAGGGTCATTGGTGCTCAAACATTAAATTTATAAAACGATTAAGGTAGCAGAAGATTAATTAGTATTGTCATATACATAGAATGTTACCTTTTCTGCATTCTTATTGCCCCAGTCTACTGCAAACTTGATGGATTTGCATTTGTCATTCTCATTTATTGGCCAGTAATGGATTGTTGGCAGCAAACTCCTTGTGAAGAAATCATAATAGTGGGGATTTATGAGAAGAGCCACAGAATCACAGGCTAGAATGTACTTTTGACTCACTGACCATGCAAGCCCTTCAACATAAATCTTGTATCTGTCTCATCATAATTCCAAGAAAAAATTGGTCAAACAAAAATGATTAAAGAACAATTAAGAGGTTAGAAGATACGAAAGATTCAGAGAAAAAGGTCTAGTTTGAAGGTATTCTGAGATTGACTGCATACCTATGAGTGCACTGTGTAGCTAAATCTGAAGTTTTATAGCCTTGTCTTCGTTCACGAGCCCATTGCTGAAAAGGGCTAATATCAGCATATCAAAAATTGCAAATTATGAAATGGTGTTTAAATTTTCAGCATTGTGAACCTAAAGTTTGCGAAGTAAGACTTGTCTCCATGGAAACAACTTCTTGCTGAAATGCAAGGTAAGACTGCGTACAATAGCCTCAATGTAGTCTGGCCCTTCCCTGGACCCCGCACTTAGCACATCTTTGTGCACGGGGCAACCCTTTTATTGTGAACCTAGTGTTTGCATCTATTAAGGGATCCCACAGCACCTAAGTGTGAAGAAACTGAAGGTTGAGACTTACCATGTCATAAATTCGCGCGTTCCAGTCCTGATTCTTAGAGGCATTGCACTTCAAAAGGTCACGTCTTGATTGGCTTAATAATACATTCCCTTTCCAATAAGCATAAGGCTCCCTTTCTGTCCACTTAATCATCTCATTGCTTTGCTGCAAATCTTTTTTCAAGATATCCCAATGCTTTATGTTGACTTCTGGCCTGCAGTAGTACCAAAATAAAGAACCATTTCTAATACAACCACCCAAAATGCTACTAGTAAATATTTCAACTTAACATTGGCTTGAACTTGAAAAGATAAGAATGTTTACCAACCCCAAAAGGACCAATCAGGGAAAACAATGTCAAAACTCGAGTCATTTCCACAGTAATGAAACAATGGTGGTGGAATTGAATCCTTTGATTTTCCATAATCACTTTTTTGTGTCACTGGTTGATCGCCACATTCGAAAACAAAATCTAAATCCGGTAGCATGCCAGGATAAAAACTAAGAAGTTGCAATACCCCCCACAATGTGACCATGTCCCTTTTTTGGAAAGTTGGTTTATACTTCTCAAAATACACTCTTCCATTTACTATGACTATTCTAAAATGGGCTACTTCTCGAGCTCTTTCTACCATTTTTCGCGTTATCCCTGTGTCCTTCCATGGCCTTAAATCTTCATGAATCCATCGAAAGTATTCAGGGCATGATTCGGATGATGAACTGAATTTAGGTTTGTTTGGTGAAGTTCGTGGACACTTTATTGAGCAAGAAACTTCAGGGAAAAGATCAACTTTATTCTTCTGCAAGGAATCTGTATGGAGAGACTAAAAAAGGAAAATGTCGCTATACATGAGAAAAAGATTAATATCGCATATCATCACTGAATTTTATCATGTAATTAAGTCAGAAAACTATTTTTTGTATAAATTGTTTAGAAAGTACAAATGATTGGAATGTAAATTCCAGTGTCAGATTATGACAATAACAACAACTAGGCTTCAGTCCCAAACAAAGTTGGGGTCGGATTATGACACTTGAGCAAACATTTTAGAAAAGTTGTTAAGAGAGACAGAGCAAGCATGTACTTACAATGTCGTTCCATTCAATTGTTAGTGCTACAATAGTAATAGATATAAGAATAAGAAAGAATCCAATAGTGCTTTTAATCCAAGAAGTCCTGCGCTGCCTTTCAATCATTCCAAACGCTGAAATCCGCATGGAAATTTACAGCACTTTAGCTATGTTTCTTCAATTCCCTGCTAGAATACCAAACTATATTTAAGCCATAATCTCATCTTTAATTACTAAAGAAAATAACAACTAAGTAGTGCTTTTCACTAGTGAAAGAGATTGAAAGCTGAGATTTGTTGCTTTTCCTGATAAAATTGGTTCAAGAAGAAATTAATGGTTGGTTGAGATTTATTAAACTTGTAACCTCTAGCGTGTAAAACTTCATGAATGGTTGCGAAGTTTTGGCATTTGAAGCCATGTGCTGAAACTTGATTTCTTTAAATTTAAGTGTATTGTTTGCTCCATAAGAAGAGCAAAATTTGGTGGACAATAAGTGGCTCCAGAATATTTATGATTAGTAAAAAAGTAAGGATTTACTTAATTGTGGATATTTTGGAATTCATAGAAATAGGGAATTTCTTTAGCAAAGTCTTTTTTTACCCCTTAATGCGAGTAAATATTCATACTTAATTTTTTATAATTTAAAGGTTGTGTTCCATAACTTTAGACTGATTTAAATATATTTGAAATATATTTCCAAAGCTCTCCAATGGATCGGTCGTAATCTCCTGTGTAAACTTCGTATAAAATTATATGAATTAAAATCTAAGATGAAATGATTATTTTAAGTAACCAAACTCCTATGTAACTTTTAACGCACCTCCTAAAATTGAAAGGAAAAAGATATCCCTTTTAATTTGTATCTCAATAAGGTTTTTTCTTAAATTAGTTCAGTAGTTTCCCAACTTTCAAGGTCCACATTTTAACCAACAAAATGTAAAAGTTAGTAATAGGAAAAGATAATAGTAAGAAAGAAAAGAGAGAATCATGTAAAGATAGTCTAAGAAAACACCCACACACATAGAGCTTATTGTTTGAGTTTGTAAAAGCTACTAAACTCTATTTGGAAGTCCATATATTATGCATTAAGGTGAGAGGTTGAAGAAGGTCTAAATAAACAAGAAAAGGCTCATTTTGTGGGGGGGGGGGGGGNTTTTTGACCCCAACAAAATGAATTGTAGCGGTTTCAAAAAACGTCACAATTACCTTCGTCACGAGCATTTCTGTGGCAATTTTGTAAAACCTCCACAATGACCGCCACAATATAAATTTTTAATTTGTGACAATTTTTAAAGGCAATTAGCGACGGTTTATAACACCCAAAATATGATCTCAATAGTTTTTAAAAAATAATGTGAGAGGGTTATAAACCCCCACAATTTGATCTCAATCTTTTAAAAAAATAATCAGTGGCAGCTTATAACTGCCACAATAGTGAAAAATTTTAAATTAAGGATTCAATAAATAAACTCAATAAGTCATACAACATAAATCCATTCCATTAAGAATATCTATAGTAACAAAAATCAACACATTCAAATTCATATCACACTAAAGTTATAAAAACACATTTGATAATTTAAACATTATACATTCTACAGCTGTCCATAATAAGTAAATATGCAGATGTGCTAAATATTTGCTTGGTGATTTGTATTGTTGTCACCTAATCATATTCTCACATCCACCGAATGAAGCAGGCTCACTCTACATATCACATGCTGAAACAGAGAATTTTGATCAAAAACTTTTAAAGGAATAAAATTTTGCCAACAAGCTAAAAGGAAGATCTTGGTATATAAATAAACGAAAGGTCTGATTCTTCTTACAAGTAAATCTGTTACTTGATCTAACAATAGCATTGAACTGAAGTTGTTAGATACTCACATGAATAAGAGCTAAAGTACAAAGTTATTTCCTTGGATATCATCACAACACTTACATCCACAAATTATTTTACTTGATAGCATAAATTCTTGCCATATATTCACGAAAATCATAATGTAACTAATAAAATATAAATTAACCACTATAGGCTTTCTAACATTAGAATCAAACAAATAAATTATAAGCTGTAATCTATCCCAATGATTAACAAACTTGCATCGAAACTGAAGGCTAATAACACTAGAAAATTGAAGTAGAAGAAATGAACTGAATAAAATAGGAGTGGTCTGATAGGAGTAGTTAGTTAAACAAACCAAGCATGTTAAAATCTGTTGGATCCAACTTCAAACAAAAGAAGCAACAAATTAAAACGCGCAAAACTTTTTCTAAGGCATGAATTCCACTAGTATCTGTATTATCCGCAAAAACTACAAGAGAATATATACCAAATGACTCTTAGTTACTTAATGTGACCTGGAAAAAAAATGTGAAAAGATTTAGGAGATAAGTTAACAAGCATAACTTACCACTCAATGCCATCATAACAGCATATCAATCTGTTAAACCAAAATATGCATAGATTAGCATTCAATCAAGTTGGCTTCATCAAAGTTTGTCCATAGAATTACTCCACAGTAAGAGATCCTCTTATGGGGAACACATACGAATACAAGATATAAAAAATAAGGTGAATCAAATGTGAATACTATTTCTGAACATACCTTTAAATCCAATATGAATGTCATCTCTAAACATACCTATAGACGAAATAAATAAGCACTACTTAAAGATGCAATATTGTTACCTTTAGATAAAACACCATAATAAATAAAAAGTTTATTCGGATTTGTATGTATTTGTTGCTAAATAAGTAGCAGTATTTGCCTCGACTACATCATCAATTAGATGGTCTGTAGCTAGTTATATCCTAACTCTTAGTATAGCTCATTCTCATAACTTTCATCTTTCACAACTTCTTCTGTATCATACAAATTTCTTGGCTTTAGGTTTACAAAAAGCACTCTATCCTTAATTGAAAACATCATCTACGTAGTACACCATATTTATACTTGAGATACTTCGATGTAAGGCTCATGTTCTTCACCCTCAATCTCGAGTTATTATATAGAAAGTTGGAGTTCATTTTCTTTTTCCAAATAAATAAAACATCAGTAGCATATAAATAATTTACCTGCCTAATGAACTTTGTCTGCTAGAAATATTCAAATTTGAAGGCATATATAAAATAAGTTCAAAAACTTATGCGAGCCGTAGATAAGCTAGTTTTTATAATAAAATGAGTCAACTTACCTGATAGCGGGTTTGAAATTACACCATATCTAGTACTCTTAGAAACGTGCACATCTGCAATAATGATATGATGCAACACATATTACTAGAGGAAGTTTTCATCTGCAGTGATTCATTTTTTAAGGAAAGTGAAAAACTAAACTACTAAAGTATGAGCTAGAGAAGAATAAATTTATCACCATAGCAAGTAAAAGAGATGCATTCATTGAAGACCATGTACTGTCTTGATATTCCTCAATGTAGAAGTGAGAAAAACATTAGCAAGTTCCCTGACTGAATAATCTGCAGAATAAAATGCATTTATGCTCTCCCAATTCCCATATTATATTAATTTGTGGGTCAATCAATTTCAACATCACACAACAGAACTAAATTCTAATTGAAATCTGGAAAAAACTTAACGTTAAATAAAGGAGCTTTTTACTATAACACTGAGTAATCTTAGCCAGAAGCAAAACATCTAATGGTCTTACTTCGAATGTCAACACTCTTTAAAAAAGAGAATAAATTTCAAGCTAGATTGTCCATAAGGGTTTCATTACTGGTTCAAGCAATAACTACAACTGAAAAACCCAAATTCTACTGCTACTGAGATAATAAAAAAAAATTAAGAGGAAAAAAAAAAGAAAAAAAATTACCTTTAGATGAGCAGTGACATTCTGAAGTTGATTCGCCCAAATGGATACTTCACTTCAGAAATTCCCAAGACACAATGCAATACCAATAAATCGTATTCCTAACCTGAAAATACCTTAATAAAAAATTACTTAAATTGAAATAATGGAGCAACACAAAAGACATAATCCGTGATTCAAAAATCAGAGCAGGAGCCATAAATTGATATGAAGAATAATACTTACAAAATGTAACTAATATGGATAGAAAATTGAGATAAAGCGCATATGAAGGGAAGCAATGCACTAGAGAAGAAGCAGTTCAGCCGAGGTGTTGAAAAAGGAAAAACCTAGGGCTAGAGGCATAATGGAATTAAAAGAGGGAAAGATTCGGGAAATATTTTGGAAAAGGAGGGAGAACTTACCGCGTTTACTTTTCGAGCAAAAACAAAAAGGGAAATTAAGGCAACAAATAAGTTTTTGAGAAAATTAAGTATTTTTCCAACAATAAAAATAATATTTTTGAACATAATAAAATTGCTAAAATCCCTAGATAAAATAAATGTAACAACTAGTTACGGATGTATTAATATCGTACTAATTATTTAAAATTTTAATTAATGAAATATGAATATCTTTTTAGATGTTAAATCTAAATATATTTTTTATCTTTTAAATATAAAAAAATTGAAAAAACTATTTTTGGGTAATTTTGTTTATAACAACCAAATAAGATCTAAATTTTAAATGTTAATATAGGTGTATAACAACTAATCATTATAATAGGCCAAAACATATGGATATATGAGGCTGTTATAAAGAGGTTTAACAATATTTTTTTTTCATTCTACTATTTAGCTACTGGTGTCATATTCTTCATAATTGTGAAAAAAATTCATCCACAATAAAATCAATATCTTAATATTGAGAAGTGATAAATAAAGAGAGGAAAAAATACCTTTGAGTTTTTAGAAGTTGAAAATTAAACTAAGATTAAATAGTATTCCTAAATTGTCTATGATATTAGTTAGTTTATTTAAATTTGTCTAATTAGGATTCACGGTCGGAATCATGTAGGAATAGATTTTCTAAATTCCAGTCAAATTTGATTTGTAGTATTATAAATAGGGGTATAGCTACACAATTTCTAAGGTGGAGAGGTATCATCGATATAGAGAGATTCAAAAGTTTATAAATAAATAAAAAGGCCTCCTACCATGTTTTCTCTTTAGTTTGATAAATTTCTTCCATATAGCCGTTGTTGAATTTTTTGCATGTGCTTAAACAAAGAATATGAACGGCTATTTGTGTAAAAAGGGGTGTAGCTACATATTTTCTAAGGTGGAGATGTAGCTTATGTAATGACCTAACCAGTCATTTTAACCTTTAGAACCCCATTTCCTAAAATAAAACTCCTCGTATATGTTTTTATTGATTTATGACTTGCGGGGATGGTTGGTTTGGGATTTGAAAGTGTTCGGGTTGAAATCGGAATACTTGGTTCTTTAAGTTGGCCTTAAAAGGCCAAGTTTGACTTCGGTCAATATTTTGAGAAAACGACCCTGGAATCGATATTTAACGGTTCAAATAGGTTCGTATGATGATTTCGAACTTGGGCGTATGTTCGGATCGGGTTTTGGATAACCCATGAGCGTTTTTGCGCTTAATAGTAAAAATTAATTATTTGAAGGTTTAAAGTTCTTTAAATTTGGTTTGGAGTAGGTTTTTGAGTAATTGAAATCCGTTTGAAATTTTAAGTTTGGGAATAGTTCCGTATAGTGATTTAAGACTTGCATGCAAATTTTGGTGACATTCCGAGTAGTCTAAGTATGATTCGGTGCATTCGGAGAATTTGAAAAACTTGAAGTTCAAAGTTTGATCCCATTTGGTTTTGGGGTGTGATTCTTGGATTTGTTATTGTTTTACTCGTTTTGAGAGTTCTAGTAGGTCCGTATTATGATTACAGACTTGTTGGTGCCTTTGGACGGGGTCCCGAGGGGCTCGAGTGTGTTTCGGACCGCCCGGAGCTAAATTTGAGAAACCAAATTTTCCAGTTCTAGTTTCCTTTTTCACGTTCGCGAGAGAGGTCTCGCGTTCGCGAAGGGAAAACTGGAGCAGGCAAGATTTTCTCTCTGCGTTTGCGAATAATGGATCGCGTTCGCGGGCCCCACGGATGATTTTTGAGTTAATTTTCGGATTTCATTGAAAAATGTAGTATTTTCTTATGAAATTGATTCTTATAATTTTTAGTGATTGTATCGAATTTATTTTGCCTAGATTCGAGCCAGACAGAGTTGGATGATCGTGGAAAGGGCCTTCTAGTGGATTAAATTGGAGCAAATTGAAGTAAGTCTCTTGTCTAATCTTGTGAGAGGAAAATTACCCCATATATGATTAAAATTAATAAATGTTGCTAATTGTGGGGGCTACGTACGTACAAGGTGACGAGAGTCCGTGCGTAGCTACTATAAATGTTAAAGTCTGGGTAGTTTATGATTCAAAGCATGAATTACTTGGGTAAAGTATATTCTTTACTTAATTAAATTATTTGACATATATA